CAGGCTCATCCATGTTGTTGCAAATGGGAGTATTTCATTCTTATTTATGGCAGAGTAGTATACCACAGTAGCAACCAGGGCCACTTCACAGCCAACCTCAGTGTAATAGAAGATGCATCTGCATTTTTAATGATAGCCTTTGCTAAATAAAGAATGTATATCTGTTATTGGATAATACAGCTTTCCTTTGCTAGTGTGATGTGTGTTGAAACTTTTTTAAGTTTTGAGAATTTTTAAAAATCTTTTAGTGTTACTGTGGTAGATAAAAGTTGGGGAGATGTTAAAATCTTTAGACATACCCATCTAAAGATGAGAAAATAAAGAATGTATGTGAAGGAAATAATAATGTTTTATTTTTTAAATAGCCCTTATTAATTCTGCAGTCCGGAAAGTATGAATGTAACAAGAGTAATTGTAGATCTAATAATTGTTGTGTGTTTGGGGGGACTGCTTTTATGATATCATATCTGAAATTTAGAAAACAGCAAGTTTGTCTTCTTAACAAACTTTAAGGTGTGTTCCCATTACATTATAAAACACACTAATAACAATGGCTCCTTTAAAACTGTTTTTAGTAATATTTTTGACATTAAGACATTTATGGCCTGCCAGAATTCAAGAATAAAGCACTGCACAGAATAAAAGATACCAACTATGAGAATTTCATTTTATACCATGAAAGCCTATAAATATTTCAATTTATAGTTTCTGACATATAAAATCCGCATTGACATCATAGCTCTAAAGGGCTTTAACTTGATTTTCATAAATATTTCCCATCCTGAAATCTCTTCAAGTGTTCATGTTTTTGAATTTTGAACTCTGAAATTTCAAAACTTTTGTCAATACTTTCTAATAACAGAATTTTAAAGGGTGTTTTGAAATACTGTATACCTAATAATAGCTATATATTTTATTTTATTTTTTTATATTTTATTGTCATTATTAAAAATGTTGTCAATTGCTCTTTACTGCATATCATCATGCCCCAAAGTTCTTTGCATAGTCAGGAAAACATGGTTTTGAATAAATATCAGTACCTATCTTCTGTCAAACAAGTCAATATGATGTTAAAGTCTGTGGTACAACAAACCTGTTTATTTTTTCTCTCCATGACTGCTGTATTCTTGGTAATACACTAATATCAAGAAAAATACAAGAATCAGTGGTGGAACAGAGAGAAATAAAAACAGCAAAGAGTATGCACTAGTGACCCTGTCAATGAAAACACTTTATCAGTCTGAGGAAATACACTTTCAATCTGACTTTGCCATGCCTTTGGTCAGTTCTTCAAGGAACATAGCATAATTAATTTTAATTCTGTGTATTTGAGAAATTACTGTCATAAAGCTTTTCTCATTGAATAATGAGAAAGCTGTGCTTCTGTATAAGAGAAGTCCTTAATGACTCTTTACTTTAAAAAGGTTGAAATATATCAAAAATTGAAGAAACTTGGGAGAGCAAACGTAAGGTCTGATGACAGTATGAATAAACTGGTGAAAATCACAAAGTAAAGAACCAGAAATTATGTTCATCTCAAGAGAGTAAGGAAGAATGTAAGTAAAAAGAAAAACAAAATTGAAATAAGGATAAGGACTCATAAATCTCTTCTAGTTGGTATTTATTCAGGAAAAGATTATTTAAAAGAGAAGTATAACAAAATTGTATCTTAAAAATATTTGGAATATGAGGATAAAAATCAAATTTAAAATAGTAAGCTCAAAATACACATTCATTTGAACATACTTTTATTTATCCCCAGTAGCAAGCCAATACAAGCCTATACAGTATAATCATTTTCCAAAAAAGCAAGAGATATATGGGGAATATTGACAATAATGAACATTTATTGAGGGCTCAC